AGGGGGCGGGGCCGGGCCCCCCCCATAGCCGCGGGTCCCCTTATAGCCCCCCCCCCAAGCGCCGCGAGCCCGGGGCCGGCGCTCACCATGCGCCTGGAGCCGGCTCTGGCACTGTGCATGCGCCACGTGCCCAGGGCCAGGCCAGCCCCGAGCACGTGGCGGGCACACACGAATGCCCCCGCGGGCGCCATGGCACCCGCGGGCACCGTGTTGGGGACCACGGCTCTAATGAATGCTCTTGAGGAAGCATAGAATACATTCGTGCCCTAAACCTCCTGCTTATTTTTCACGGAACCTATCCAAAGAAACCAGGCCTGGAGGCCTCTGGTGGGCAGAGTACTGTCAGGGAGCAGGACTGCAGCAGAATCTGTCTTCTGGCAACCCAACAAGCACAGCTGGCCTTCAGTATACTACCTGGTTGACTGCATTACCCAACTTCTCTTCGAAGTCTGGTCTTGAAGTTAGTCTATAAGGTGCCACAGGACTCCTTGTCGCTTTTGCAGATCCAGACTAACACAGCTACCCCTCTGATACTTGATATCATTTGGGAAAGCAAAACTGAGACTTTTCTGTACCATATTACATGATGAGGTGCCATTTTAATCACCTCAGTTTGCATCTAGACAGCAGTGTGCATCTAGACATCAGTGCTATTTAGGGATACTTCCAGTATCCTGAGATAGCATTTTCCATGTTTTGACAGTGCGCCAGTTATTTTGAAATATATTTTGAAATGAGTGAGCCATTCTGACGTCCCTGTAAATCTCATTCCACGAGGATTAAGGGACATTTCAGAATAGCTCTATTTTGAAATATGGCACTATGTAGACAGTGCCAAATTTCTAAATCAGCTATCTCAAAGTTAACTTGCTCAAATTGTGTAGCTTATTTCAAGCTAAGGGTGCAGGGTAGACGTACTCTTAGGGATTATATATTTCCTATTTGAGAAAAAAATTGGACTCTTTGTCTCCCCAAAGTAGCCAAACCTTTTGATTATACCTTATGTGAAGTTAAATTGACTTGTGACTCTAATAATAAAAGAAGCACTGCCTCACAATCAAAACTTCCTGGAATCATTTGATTCTCAGCATCAGTTTTTCATTGTAATGTCATTTGTGGATTTTTCTGAGGACTCTGCTATGATTAATGCAACACTGTGCAGACACATTGCCTGATAAATGAAAAATTTCAGCATCACTCAAAGTAATCTACAGTCAAAATGAGCTCATCAAAAATGTAAACAAAGACATTTATTGCAAATAAAAATTCACATTCACATCATTAAGCTCATTAATTTTAAGAAGATCATTTTACACCTCCTGAAGAATCTGTATACATCAGGGCTGCTGCTTTTATCAAATCAGCTGCTTGTGACACGCATATGTTTATTCAAGTGTGGCAAGCCAAATACTTATCTAACTATATGTGTTTTGATCTGGCTGATGACATAGTTCTGACACTTTCGTTGTTTCATTTTCTCTGGATCTGACAGTACAGGCTCATCGAAAACCCCAAGCCAACAATCTGGAAAACAAATACATGTATGGTATTACTTGGCAGTCCTGGAACTCCCTGCACAGAACTGATACACAGTGAGAACATTTTGTTTGCAAACGTCTTGGATTTACATGCAGACTAAACCTGCTGTGGTATAGAATTTTTTCCAATGACTCTAGCTAGAAGCATAACTCTAGAGTATTGGGATTTTAATGAAATCAATATGTACCACAGGTAAAATTGCAGGGAAGATGGAAAATTTAAAGTTTTGTTTAAAAACTGATTATTGCTCATGTGGATGGGGGACCCTTCTTCAGATGTGGGATTATTAAATGCAGCTATTCATTTTTATTTTCTAAGGTGCTGGAAAAACTTCTTAGAATCTGTGGTACACCAAGATTTTAGTTTCTTTGACATCTTTCATCTTCTCTATGTTTACCTTTTGCATGTTTCACTTGCTTTTACATTATATCTATGCACACATTATATTTGTATATGTACACGTATGCGTATACCCTTATCATGTACTAAACAGTCACATTTGCCAGTAACCTGATCAGGCTGGAAATGTTACATATATTTTAAAAATAGCTGATTGAAATAAAACCTGAGTACGGTACAGTTTTGATGCAGGGATTACTGGGGGAAATTCTATGGTTGGGGTTATGAGATCAGATTAAATTATTATAATGATCCCTTTGAGCCTTAATTTAAGACAGTATGAATTATTAAGAAAAAACAGGAAAGATCTAAATAGTAATTTATGAAGCAACTGAAGGATGGAGAACATATAGATTGGAGAACATGTAGAAGATAGGGTATGTCTACATTACCCTCCTAATTCGAACTAGGAGGGTAATGTAGGCATACCACACTTGCAAATGAAGCCCGGGATTTGAATTTCCCGGGCTTCGTTTGCATGAAGCCGGCCGGCGCCATTTTTAAATGCCGGCAGTTCGAACCCCGTGCCGCGCGGCTACACGCAGCACGGAATAACTAGTTCGGATTAGGCTTCCTAATCCGAACTAGCTGTACTCCTCGTGGAATGAGGAGTACAGCTAGTTCGGATTAGGAAGCCTAATCCGAACTAGCTACTCCGTGCCGCGTGTAGCCGCGCGGCACGGGGTTCGAACTGCCGGCATTTAAAAATGGCGCCAGCCGGCTTCATGCAAATGAAGCCCGGGAAATTCAAATCCCGGGCTTCATTTGCAAGTGCGGTATGCCTACATTACCTTCCTAGTTCAAATTAGGAGGGTAGTGTAGACATACCCATATAGATCTAAAGCAAGTTGAGGAGACAAATTCTTTAGTGGTTTACACTCCACTCAAATGCCACGTAGGCAAAGTCACCTGTGTTGACTTTGGTCTGACATCCTCAGTTCAAAGAGATTATGGTCTAATATATACAAATAACACAGTGAGTAAACATATCAGTATGCTGACAGAAAAAAGTAGAGACAAGGAGATGCTCTGCAAGAGCACTTGTTGAGTTTGGGGAGAGGGTATGTTTTTGGAGTGGGTGTGATTCAGCAAGTGCCCTTTCAATAGCATTCATTTGAGATGTCATATTATCTTGGCAACAGATAGCTGACGAAGTCAATTTGTATCAACTGAGGATTTTTTCCTCTGATTTTGTTTTGTTTTGTTGTTTTGTAATCCTCTCCTGATCGAGAGAGATAGCAGCTACAAGCAAAGCCCAAGTGGAGAACAGTGGCAGAACATTGGCCAGAAGAAGTGACATTTAAGGAGGGAAATGAGGTAGAGTGATTGCAATCGCTAACCTGATGTGACTACAAGTTTTATTTTTCACTGAGACATTAATTCATCACAGTTTTACTACATTTAAAGAGTTCCTTTTGTGTTTTCACAGATTATCTATTTATTTCAATAAGTTATCTATGGTTAATCAGACCTCTGTCCAACTTAGATAAAAGTTGCAAAGGTAACTTCTTGAAATAACACCCAGCTATCTCAGCCAGCTGGCCCTTTTGGCAAGCTGAGTTTGGCCTGACTGTAACAGTTACCCTCTGTTTTGCCTCTGCTCTAGCCACATAGCGCAATTAGTGATGCCACCTACAGGTAAAGGAGTGAGAGTGACTGACCCCAGCTGCAGAGGTTTACCTAAACATAGCTGAGTGCAGTTGAGTAAAAAAGACTGGAGAGAGAGGAGGTATGGAGTCTCCACTCTCTATGAGAAAGGATTTGGGTAAGTAGACTGAAGAAGGCCACGGTGACAGAACTGATCCCTGCGAGGGATAGCCTCCAGAAGGGGAGCATGATCTAGGGAGAGACCACAGAAATGAGAAGACTCTGCTATGGAAACAAGCCCATGGAATAGGCTCTGTGAGGTGAGGAGCCGTGAGGTAGGGTTTCTTCATGGCACAGAACACTTCAGTAGCCCAGAAAAATTATTCAGATGTTTGGATTTTCATTTGGACCTTTTGGTTGCCTTGGAAGGGATTTGAACTTTCTGTGACTTGGCTGGGTGCTGAGGTACAGAAGAGCCAATGAGAGGCAAATGGTCAGTCGGCAGTGCTGGAAACAAGGACCCCACGTAGCATTGTACCCTGAGTGTGCTACACATGGTGAGTACATAGCCTTATACCTAATGCTAAATAAGAGGTTATTTGCAAGTCATATTGAGGACTTTGGCGGTACTCAATTTTTCCTGCTTACGATTATTTTCCAGGACATGGATTTTTTCAGTTGGGGTTCCTGCCCACTTTTAGACCATGGAGAATAATTCTCTGCCAAAGCCATGCTACAGTTTAAAAACCTTTTCAGTCTGAATTATGGATTCAGTCCTGCAAAATGCTCTTTGTCATCCTGTGTTTACCTCAAGTCTCTAATTTCAGGGGGGAAATTACAAAGAAGAAATAAAAAAAATGTAAAATAGTAAAATGAAGCAAAGCAAAATAGTGGAATAAGGCAAAGCAATTAAGTCCCCTATTTTTTAGTCAGACCTAATCAAAACCAAACATTAGTCAGGTGGTTCACTGAATAACATCACTTTTTCCCTGCATCCCTTTGTTTAGGGCATATGTATCAAGTCATTGTTCAGTAAAAGAAGAAACAATTGAAATAAGTAGCTCAAACAGTCCAATCGTATATTCCGCTCTTTACCTGCCTAAATTTCTCCTATAAGGAAATCGTGTTCTCAAAGCAATAATTTAACATCATAATCTCTCTATTATATGATGGCTGCAATTTAGCCACAATTGACATCCATGTAGCTGATCATCACAAAAGAAAACTTTTCTAAATCAATGTATTTTGAAAGTCAACGATGATAACTTTTTAAGCATGTGATCCGAAGGTCTGTTGACCTCAGTGGTCTTCAAATCAGGGCCTATTAAAGCAATTATTTTTAAAAAGGTTGAATTTCAGGCTCTACCAAGTAGTAATGGCTAAAAGCAAAAAGGTTCAGTCTGACAATCTGGTTAAGATGAACATCCCAAAGTTCAGACCAATTTCTTTGGTCTGCCTTGCTGAGCTGGAAATAAGATGTTCCACAAGGATGAGTTCTCCTATGAAATTTCTACCATTTCCTCTATCCATTTGGGCCAGAAATAGAATGAGACCAGTATTTCTTTTGATATTTTGGGACCCTCTATTTCTGGCACTGACAAGAATCAGAAAATAAAAATATACATGAAAGCGAGAAAAGAAAAAAAACAACCAAAAATCTCTATATTAGGGGAGAGCAGGGGTTACTAGATCCATGCATTGTGAGCAAGTGGATAGAAAAGGAAGGTGTAGCAGGTGAATTGCTGCCAGTGAGGTGGCAGAATGAGACAGCATACATAGAATTGGAAGGAACCTCCTGGGTCATCTAGTCCAGTTATTTGCTATTGCAGTCAACCCCATCATATAATCCCTTTCAGACTCCATTTTAAAGCTATGTTGTTTGCCCCCATTACCCATATTGGGAGGCTCCTGTGGTGGTTAGAAACCAGTAAGTGGCTGAGCACAGTGTATTTTAATCTCAGCAAGGGGAGAAATGGGGAGGACTGTGACTCTTCGGATGTGCTGCTGCGGTTATGCAACTACATATCAGCTCTTGGTCAGAACAAATTGTAAAGTTACAATTTAGCCCTTAGGCTGTAAATTCTTTGCAGGACATGCAACCTGTCTCTATGGCACCCACCAAAAGTAGGGTCTTGGTGCTGGCTGAGGTCTTGAGCCTTACTGCAAAATACCTAAATGCTAAATGGAATTACAATTAGGGCTGAAGTTAAAGCTGATTAACTCTTTCCTAATAATTGATTAATCCAGGTATTTTAATTCCAGTCCCAGCACACTTTCAAATACAATGCTTTACTTGACATCTAGAAAATATTTCAATGGTTTGTACTGATACCTCAACAACTGCCAGTCCAAATGCGATCCCCATGAGTATGATCATATGGTTTTTGAAGAACTCAATTATCACACTACCACAAGGCTGAAAGAAAAGATTAATTATGAGTAATACAAGCTCATTAGGAGTACAGCCTCTAAAATCATTGGCTACATGGGATACACTGTCCAAAAAGGTATTTCCACCATGTGCAAGAGAGGCTGTTCTAATTTGCTCTGGTTTGTTATAAAGACAAAGAGTACATCTGCAACCATCCTGTGCTCTGAGAGGAATATCTGTCCTCTGTCTTACCAAATATGAATCTAGTGTCCAAATACACGGTAGGGTAAAGTTTCAAAATAAAAGACACTGCTTTCAGGTGTAGGGTTTGTGATACTGCCACATGCAAAATACAGTAAAAATATCATTTACTCCCATTTTCTCTGTCTAATCCCTTCTTATTACAGAAGGGCCCAAGTTGCAAAGTGTGGATCTGGAAGTAAGTCTCAATTTCCCATTAAACTAATTTTGGATTTGTTTTTCCAGGTCAGGTTTATACGGACACGCAGAGCCAGTCTTAGAGGCAGGTGAGCCGGGCGGTTCCCCAGGGCCGCCATTTTCAAGGGGCTGCCGTCGGAGCCAGTCTTAGGGACGGGCTGCAACCGCATTTCAGCCCAACATCCCAAATCTTCCCTCCAGGTTTCCCTGGTTACTCCCCAAACTTTTTGCGGTGGGGGCTCAACAAATTTTCCCCGGTATTTTTTTTAAACCACCAGCCAGTTGGTTAGGACTGGCCCTGCAGGCATGCTCAAAGCAGGATGATGGTATATAGAGCTATAGTTACATCCAAACTTTCTCAGATGCTCAAAAGGCTATGGCTGGAAGTGGAATGCAGTGAGCAATTTAGATCTGAAATTCCATTTTGAGCCTCTCTGAATTTTTTGTATTCTTATCATGACTACATGTTCTCAAGTCGGTAACTAACTGCTCTTGCAAACCAGGGTAAAGACCAAGTGAGGCCCAGATCCATCAAAATTACATGGACTCTCTGCCACAAACATTGTTCCCTGCCTGACTTTCACTCTATTTCCTTCCTAGTGATGAACATGTTTATCTTTCTCACAAAAAGGCTTTTAATTTAGCTCTCACTCACTACTGCAGCAAGCCTTAGAATGTTGGGTCTGCTTCATAAGGAGGCATATACCATTTCATATTTTTTGGATTTTAGGTGTTGATTCTGCCACCCTACACCACCTACTGAATGTACCCTTCTTCACAAGCAGTCTTTCTTGCAGTGGCATTATTGAAGGAATGAATTAGTACTTAGCATAAGGGTAGCAAAATCTGGCAATAAGCATCATTATTTATAAAAATCTAGCCCCAAAATGTAAATATCTGTTAGACGTCCACTATGTAGTGGTGGCAGCAAGAAGAGATTCAGACAAAAACTGGAGGATGGGAAGCAAGGAACTCAATTCATCTGTTTCAAGATTTATCTGTCTCAATTATGTTGAAATTAGAACTCTGCAAATCCAGATAATTTCCACATAATGAGACAGATAAATCTTGAAATAGATTAATTAAGTTTCCTGCTGCCCATCCTCCAGTTTTTGTATGGATCTCTCTTTGCTGCCTGTCCTCATGCACCTTGTCTTACTGTTATAATTAAATGCTGAAAGCTTTTCAAAGCAGGACAGCTGGGGGGAATGGCCCCTTGAGTGCACTGTCAGAAAACATGCAGCATTTCCTTCCTGTGGAGTCTATAACTGAGTGTGAACCTTTTAAAAGGGGATTCACAAATTTAAAAAAAAAATCTTACATTGAAACCTTTCATCCTGAAATATCTTTAAGTACTTTAAAAGCTATGGGTCAAATCCTGGGCAAAGATGTCTGACAATATAGTCATTTTATCATGAGGAATCCCAATAGCAATATGGGGCTGTCGCTAAGGTATCCTCTCACTTCTCACTGGTAATTACAAGGTGGGATTCCAGACAGGCTGCAGAAGTCCTTAGCACACTGCAGAGCAATGTGGAAATGCAAGATGGCAGGGGGAGGAGATAGCTGCTAACAAGCATACTACACTTCACGTTTGCTGGAGGAGAGGAAAATTTAACTAAGGAAAACAGGACAACCCCTTTTTCTTTTCAAAACTGCCAGTGACACTTGAATGACCATGCAAAGGAAACAGAACCTCTCTCTAAACCTCTTTTTAGAAAGTGCAGCATGCAATAATTGTTCTTACCTTTCTATAAATATATTTGCCAGAATGGAGGATGCAGAGAGCTGTATTTTGTTCTTTCTGGTCACATTCACAAATCTTATAATTATTAAAAGCAGTATTAAAATTGCTCCCCCAGTCTTCATACCCCTTCACCAAACCACAGCACTGATTCTGTAAAAGAAGAGAAATACAGAGGTGAAAGTGATGAATGGTGACTGAAAATAAGTCATATGAATCCACTCCACTCTTGCAAATCTTATCAAGATATTGTGCATCTAGGCGGCCCTTTGTGTACATGCATCAATGTCTTCTATCAATAATCAGAATGGCAGGTGAATTGTGGTCAATAAATAAAGAGGATGAAGAAGGAACAGATTTCCGATATACAATAAGGAAACATCTGTTACATGACCTTGGATTAATGACATGGCCTGTGTCACAACATAGCATATAACAATGTTGGATGTTTCCAGAATTATGTTTTTTTTCCCTGCATTTTATATTTGCATGTTAGACATAGCCAAAGTATTTCACATGTGAAAAAAGCCAACCTGGAAAAGACAGTACAGGCATATACAATTGTAATAGCTAGAAGAATAACCACCGTAATGGATGGATAGCACACAAACCTAGCCATGGCCCAAGGAGTCTAGGGATCTGTTCTGGGTTTAAAAACCTAAACCAGGTGTGGGCTTGATTGAGGTTCCATTTTATTCAAACCATCAAAGTGCAGGGGTGAAGGTAGGCTTCACAAAGTTCTGGCTTTAGCTTTTCTTTGTTTTAGAGGGCAGCTGGAACCACTCATCCTGTAGAGACGTAAAGGCCATGGGACATCATAAAACAATCAAGATCAATTAAAAAACAGAGCCTCGATGGCTGTACTGGTGATTTTTCCAGAGAGAGTCTTCACCTTTCCTGAGGTCTGTCTTTGATATTCAAAGCAGTGGGTTGGCTCAGCAATAGGAGGGGGGAAGCACAAGCTCTCTAAACACTATTTCTGGCTGCCATTTCACTAGCACCCCTGGCAGTGTTTAGAAGAAGAGCTCATAAGATCATCCCCTAAAGTCATGCACTCTCATGGACCAAGCATTACACACCAGGCACAATAAAAATAAATGGTTCTGAGCACCAGCTGCACCATGGTGAGGGGCTTGTCACCTGATGCAAAGGGAAGTTCAGAATATTCCGTACTTCTCAGAAAGCATCTTTCAGGATCAGAACCATCTGGAATGTTCTGCCTTTTGGGATTCGGCACACATGGATATGAGCTTAGATCTAAGCCCACAGGAAGTACTTCTCATTTTATCCCTTTTTGTTCCTCTCTCTCTTACAACAAAATATAGCATTTCATGACTTTGTAGTAAGAGAGAAAATATTTCAAATAAGCAACCTCTGGGGAATTTTCCATAACATATGGTCAATTTTATTTATGACTTACATGGCCTCTGACAGACTCCCTTTTCCCAGGAGTAAGTTTGCCGATACAGACCAATAGAAGATTTTAACCTAGGAGAGGGTGGAGTATTAACTTTCCTTCAAAAACTCTTCAGCTCTGAACCAAAGGCTGTTAGCCCTCCTTTAAAGCATCTCTTCTCATGGGTGATGGTATCACTGGGTGATATTTGTCATAACAAAATAATATCTGTCATTTTTTGAGTGCTGAAAAGATTACACAGACAGCATATCTAGTTGCTTGTTTAAATGGGGAATGCAGCCAGATACAGAGAACTTCCCTTAGATAGGGAAGCTTTTAATGCTGAGCATAGATTTCTCTTGGTGCAGGAGCTCTGAGTTATTGCCTCATTAGAGGCCTGTAAAGTGAAGATCTCAGCCTGGGGGAGGAAGGGAGGATTAGGAGTAGCAGTGTTTGTTAAAATGTGATCCTTTTTTATCATTTCTCTTTAATAAAGTCTTTGTAAAATGTTTGCATTCTCCCATATATTAACTGTGTCATCATTCCATCATTGCCTGGGTCAATGATCATTTATTGTAAATAAGAGGTCACATTTCAATCAGCATTGCTAAATGGGTATGTGATGGGGCACACAAACCCCACACTGGGACAGAAGGCATTAAAGGACTACACTGGGCCCAGCTAACCCTACTCCCTTCAACCCTGGAGAAAGGATTGAAAGGGGAGCAACCCAGCTCAGAAAGGGGAACCTGAGGGGGAGTGAAGACCTAGCCTCAAGGTTCCTACCAAAGGGAACTGGAGAAGCCTCCCTGAAGGCACAGTGCTGTATGCAGAGCCTAGCAGAGGGTGGCATTTTTGGTTTCACTTTTTTGTTACCCTTCTCTGGAACCAGAAGCTAAGATAAGGAAGCAGTGTTTGGAAGGGACCTTGGGAAGGCAGCTCAGAGGGCCCCTCCCAGAAGCCCTAGTTCCTCCACCTTCCCCAGGTGGGAGGTCAGGGAACCTGAAAGCAGCCACCAGCCCATGTCCCTCTCCCCTTGAGCACATCACATGGGGCAGCTAGAGCCTTCAGGGTTCCCCATAGCAACCCAGTCTTCCTTGGCAGCTCTTACCATGGCCTGCCTCTGGCTTCTGGCCTGGTCAGGAGGTAGGACCTCAGGAGGAAGAGGAGGAGCAGAGGTTGGGGCCTCTTGGTAAGGGGCATTAAGGTCCACCTCAACCCCACCCCCTGGGAAGAGCCTGGTGCTGCCAGCAGGCACTGCACTTTATGGCAGAGGACGTGATCACCTTATAAGCTCCCCCACCACACCGTGCAGCCCCTGCCACTGCTGCTCCGTACTTGGCCAAGGATTGCAGTTTTGGGGCAGGGGAAATGCATCCCCCAAATTATGCTGATGTTAAAAAGTGGGAGGCCACGGTTTCCTTGCCCTGCCTCCCAATTCTGGTGTCCCTGTTCCTAGGGCTCTGGGTCAGAGCCCAGGAGAGTGAGTAGGCCTGGACTCTCCTACCACTGACCCATTATTGAGTAGGTGCTAAACACTAGGCTCATTGACCCACTGAGGACCTCATTACAAGCTCCTTCTTTCATAGTGTATTTAGAGGAAATAAAAAGTTTAGCTAAAACAAACTATTTAAATTCCATCCTTCCATATCATATTTGTGTTGGAAAATAGGCTTTTCTGAAGGTCAGAGAAAAAAACTTGAGACATTTTAGACATCACTAAAATGAGAAACTGAACAATCATTGGCAATCTAAACTACTGCAGATACTACAGTTAAGTGCTTCACCTACAGAGAGTATTGGAGCAGGTGAGAAGAGAGGAGGGAATTTCTTTAGCCCCAGAGAGACGGTGGTGAGAGAATCACAATTTGCCATAGGGATGAATCCCTGTTTGAGCACAGAGGGTGCAAATTGTACCCCTCATGCTCCAATTGCTGTGGCTCAGCTATCAGAGATGTGAATTAGGTCTGTTTTCTCCAAAACAGATAAGATCCACTGGCACAGCAGTCAACAAACCTAGCATTATATGAGGTTTTCATAATATTCAATAGAAACAGTTCCAAGAAGGAAAGTTGAGTTCCTTCTCTGACTTTCTCTGTCTTTGAGTCATGTTTGAATCTAAGAAATTAGTTTTTCACGTTATTCAGAGATACAAATTTTAAATCTGGATCCAAATCCAAGATACTATTGGACTGTGATCAAGTCACACCTTAATCTTCTCTTTATTAAACTGAGTAGGTTGTGTTCTTTGAGTCTGTCAGTACAAGGCATGTTTTCTAATCCCTTAATCATTCTCCTGACTCTTCTCTGAACCATCTCCAATTTATCAACACTTGAATTGTGGGCACAAGAAATGGACACAGTATTCTAGCAGTAGCTACACCAGTATCAAATACGGAGTTAAAATAACCTTTCTATTCCTACTTGAGAGTCTCTGGTTTGTGCATCCCAGGATCACGTCAGCTCTTGTAAGAGCTATATGGGAATCAAATATTTACTAATCGACTCTTCAGTCTAGAAGAAAAAGGTATAACATGGTCCAATGGCTGAAGCTAGACAAATTAAGACTGGAAATAAGTGTACATTTTTGACAGTGAAGATAATTAACCATTGGAACAATTTACAAAGGGTATGTCTACGCTACAGTGTTATTTTGAAATATCTTATTTCAAAATAGTTATTTCGAAATAGTTTATTTTGAAATAATTCGTCTACACACACAGTGCATTTGAAATAGCTTTTTGCTATTTCAAAATAGCACGTCCACACTGAGTGGATGCTGAATCACATTTAAGGCTGGCCGGAACCAGGTCAGGCAGGGCATCAGGTCAGGAGTTACTTTGTGTGGCTGCTGCCTGAGGCTATCTGAGGCCTGTGCTTAAAGGGACCCCCCTGCCCTGGACAGCCAGTTCTCCAGTTTCCTTGCTTGCCTGCCTACCTTGATGAGGGACAGCAAAGCATTTTGTCTCTGTGTGCTCTGGTTGCCCTCACTCGGGACACCACAGCACTCCGCAACGTGGAGCCAGAGCTGCGCGCACACAGCCAAAGAATTTCAACTCCTCTCCAATGTTCCCTCTAATCTTTTACGTCCATGTTAGGTCTTTTTCCATCCACGTGTGGAATAATTTTTTAATGTGCACTGACGCACATATGAGTGTGCACCACCAGTAGAAACAAAATACCTAGCGGAGGGCACTCTGCTAATCAGCTGGGAGGCATTTGAATCTCTCCTGAATGGCTGCACAAGTGTACAGCTTATAGGGAGTGCTGCTCTTCACCCCACTTTATTTAACAAAACTGGTGAGGGGGAATATAACTCTGGTGAGACTGGGGAAAGGAGGCAGGGTGGGAGAAGGGAGGGGAAAAACTGGGAGGAGGGAGCTGCCAGGGGGAAGCAAGGGGAAGAAGGGGGAATGGAAGCTTAGGGTTGAGGGTCTCGCCGGACCAACTTGATTTTCATGCAAACCTGCTCCTGGGTTCACATGCGGCCTTTGGTGGTCAGGCTGGCAGCTATCCTGCCATAGACAACCATGTTCCTCCATCTAGTGCGGAGATCATGGACATTGGGGGCATCCCCCCCAAACCTGAATATGGTCCATGATCTCCACCCTGGACCAGGAAGGCACCCACCTTCTCTGGGCCCTGGCAAACTCCTGGGAGCTGGCAGACTCCTCCTGCAGAGTGGTGAAGGGCTGGCTGCCAATGGCTTTTTTTGGTACCCCCCTGCTGCAGAGTGGTGAGGGGCTGGCTGCCAATGGCTTGGTGGCTCATGTTTTGGAGCCACTGGGTCAGGGGAGTGACTGCTGGTTCTGGGCTGGCAGGCTTGGAACTGGCAGAGGAACTGTGGCCAGAGTCAACCCCTTTAAGGGCTCTGGGGAGAGGGGGAGGGGGAGGAGTCTTCTTGGTTGAGGCTGGAGTGGCCACCACGGTACCCTGGGAAGGCTGGAGGCCCCCTATTTCGAAAAAAGTGTCCATGTAACTGCCTATGTAACTATGTATGTGGGTTACATCTACACAGCACTTATTTTGAAATAGCTATTTCAAATTTGGCGTTATTCCTCGTGGAGTGAGGTTTACCAAATTTGAAATAAGCACTCTGCTATTTCGAATTAATTTTGAAATAACGGTTTGGCTGTGTAGACGCTAGTAAAGTTATTTCAAAATAACGGTTATTTCAATATAACTTTGTTGTGTGGACATATCCAAAGAGTCATGGTGGATTCTCCATCTCTAACACTGTTAAGTCAAGATTACTTTAGGAATTATTTTGGGGAAGTTCTAAGGCCTGTGTTGCACAGGAGACCAGATAATCACAATAGTCCCTTTGGCTTTGGAATCTATGAATAAAAACTGGATATAGTCAATTTCACAGGTTTGGTTCAGGTATCCCTACAATGGTCTGTACTTGGTTATACACTGTAGACCTTGTAATATCCATAGCAGTAAGAATGAAGCTTACAAAGTCAACAGAATGAGTATGTAGACCCTGCAAAAGACCAGAAATGTCTATGGGCCTTCTAAACTCAATCGATACAATTTGCAGAGTTAGTAGTATAAGAAGCGTAGAGCTTACATGGGCCTCAGGAAATGACTGGAGAATTTTCAAGGAACAGGTGAGCCTGCAGATATTGTAAATTCTCTTGTCCACAATGGAAGGACCTTAAAAGCTTTGTATTGTTGCTTTCTATGTTTCAGAAACTGCTGCTTGCATCTAATTTTCTTGAGCCAAGGTGTTTGCATAACGAAATTTACAGTATCTGTAGACACATGGCAGAGTTTTATAATCTTTGAACCAATTATTTGGTTTATAAAGCTCATACTTAAGTTCTTTGAACCAAGCAGTTTGATTTATGGATCATAGATACATAACATCCAGACTTTATCACTCACACGAACCTTAAGTGATTTACAAACTTTACATGCAACTTTGAAGTTCAAAAAGTTGCAGTAAATGAGTCAACTATGAAATCTTCTAAAATATAGTTCAGTAGTTCTGAGAGAGAACAAATGAATAGAACAAAGTGGGAATTTCTACACAAGCAGATATGATATGCCTAAAAAATATTTGATAACTACCAAACCGTCTTTTGTCTTCAAATGCTCATGCCTCAAAAATGCTTCATACTCTGACAATGTAAATAACGCAATAAAGTTAGTGGGATAAAGACAGAAATATCAAACTTTCCTAAAATATTTCTCTAAGAGACCTTCAAAATGTTACAGGATAACTCATATGTAAACCCCCAGTCAATGGATGAACCTTATGTAGGGGCACTGGACAAAGGGAACTGCAAAGTGGTGGAGCTGGTGAATATTCTAAACTATAGACATGTAGGGAGGGGTACACAGGCTCACATGACTCCTTAGATTTGCTATTGGTTTGTACTGAGCATGCTCACATGGACTTAACATCCTCAGTTACATCCACTGAAGCCTTTGCCCTTATTATGCCCCCACCCACTATCAGCAGATATGGATTGTTTCCGTGCTAAACCCTTAGCCTCAATTCTTACATAAATTTGCAGCGAATTTACCACAAAGAACTTCAAGTCACACAAAGAGACTAGAATCCCCGATAGTTTTTCAGCTGCATTTTGGGCAGTTTGTGTTTTTCAGAAGGGTGATGCACAGGTCACAGAGTTGTGATAAAAAAAAGAATTAAACACTGCATTGAATGCAATAGGGAGAATAGATAACTCCTGGCTTTAATTACCATTTTCTCAAACTTCTGAAACTTCTCTTGAAATACTTGAGATTCTTGACTGACATCTTGCAATATCTTTACTTTATCCAAGAGAGTCTGGTTAAAAGTTGTCTCTATCTGGAAATCCAAGTGAAATTATATAATATTAGTTCATACTATCTGTAAAATATTGGAAAGAATGCGGCAAATATGATTGAACCATAAAGTACCTGGGATTTATATACTGCTCCTAAAATACCTGCTACAACCTGAAGGATCAGGATCAAAAGCAGTCCAATAAAAAACTAGCAAGAAAACAAAGAGACAAAAAGTTAACACTTCTAACTGGCAAAAGATCATTTCTTTCAGCTTGGTGGCAAATTATTATTTACATGAATGAAAACTTTGGCAAAATAAATTTATATCCTGGTTAGAGCTGATCACAGTATTCATCCCAACTCAGTTAGGGTAGGTCTACACAGCATGCTTATTTCGAAATAAGCTATTTTGGAAAACATTTTCCGAAATAGTTTATTTTGAAATAGCACATCTACACTACAGGGAAGCCTCAAAATTAGTCCGAGGCAGGCTCCCCTAACGTGGATGTGGTATCTTGGTTTAGAACCCCAGGAGGCACTGGGGAGTAATTACTTTGAAATGCGCTGGGGAGGAGCTATTTTGAAATAGCAGCAGTGGATGTTTAAAGATTTCGAAATAAGCCATCCATTATTTAGAAATTATTTCAAAATAACGGAATTGCCGTGTAGACACTTGCATTGTTATTTGGAAATAACGGCCGTTATTCCAAAATAACGTTGCTGTGTGGACGCACCCTTAGAGACAAAAATTGGCCTTTTTCAGTATACAAATGTCCTGGGCCTGCGTAAGGTGATGTGGTGTTTCACTGTACTAAGGGAGCATCGGGAGCTGCGATGTCTCAGGCAAGCACAGTCTCTCTGGAGGCTGCTAAGTTCACGTGGGGACTGTCCATTGGCATGGTATAGATTCCTGCCTTTCCCAGTACAAAAGTTTGTGCAGCTCCATGTGTGATGTTTATGCAAATGATGTAATTAACTAATTTGCATATGTGGACAAACCAGTCCCATAATGAGTTTGTGGTGAATATATTTGCACTTCAAGCAGTGTGGGGCAGGATGTAAAGCTGCACAGAACTTGGCAGCTGTGGTTGGGTAGATGAGAGGGTGCTGGGTAAGGCAAGCTGCTGGGGGCGGACGTGACTGTGGGCTGTTTGAGGTGATTGGGTGGGTGTGATGGACGAGCAACTGGGAGAAGATTGATGAAAGAAGTTAAGCGATAGTTGGTTGGGGAGAAAGCTTGGGGCTAGTTAGGGGCTTTCTGGACCCAGTACTGGGTGCCTCTCACTTTCTGTTCCCACATTGCCAGAAGAGGGAGAAGTGTGGAGGGGACATAGTGTCCACAGTGGCCCTGGCAGACAGGACAGTTTAGGCCCATCCCTACAGTTGGCAGAATACATGACATCTCAGCAGGGCTTCAAGGATATGTGACGGGGCTACCAAATGGGAGAGTGACACACCAGATGCGTGAATCTTTGCAGCTGTACCAGTACCCAACCCTTCTGTGTGCAAACTATCCTTTGGGATAATGCTTTCCTGGGGCTGTAGGCCTTAGCAGTCCCAAGAGTGAAGGGACTGCTATCACTAGGCAGCCACAATAAGACCTTGCGCTTCTGGAAACCCTCCCGACCCCGCTTACGGAAGTTGTCTTTGCCAGACAGTGAGAGGCATCCCACCTCCCACTAGCTGGAGTGGGTCCAAACAGTTAATACAAATAATCAGTTGATCAAACAGAACTGGCCCAGATTACAAGCAGTCTCATTTACAAGGAGTTTTCCCACCAGCTCTAACTTTAGTTTGAAAAGTTCTGGTGAAGGATTTTCTTCCTGTGACCCTACCAAGAGCAGCATGCACTGACTTTCCTTCATCGCACCGCAGCAACCCAGGAAACCAAGGACCATAATGATGGAGCCCACTGCTATCATCAGGTCAACAGCTGAAAACAGGCTGCTGTCTAAATTGAGTTCCTGTAGAAAGAGAAACAAAACCTCAGATATAAGAAAACCCTTTCTAGCAGAAGGGTAATTTGTTAGTGAACCTGATCTACCTCTCCCTCTCCACCCCACCTTCCCAACCCCCAAAAAAGAGTGATTGTAGTTGAGGAAAGAGAACTTTTATCAGGGCCACTGACAGAATGGTGGAGGAGAACGAAGGGGGCAGTTGCCCCAGGGCCTGGCAATTTAAAAGGCTTGGGGCTCCAGGCCCCTTGAATTACCATCGGAGCCCCATGCGATGCAGTTCAGGCAGCACTGAGGGCTGACTGAGGGAGGCATGATGTGGTCTGCATGGCCCTGAGAGCTGGCTGCCCCAAGTCCTACCCCTGCCAGGGGTCCCAGAGCCAAGCCTCCTATACACATTACCCAAGGCCCAGTGAAGTCTGTTATGTATGGATTAAGCTATCACAATGAGATTCCCTCCTGAGTAGAGGATACACCTAAGGCCTATACACCCATTTCAGCCCTATTTTGAGAGTTTATGTAGGATTTAGCTGTTCATTGTCTGGGCTGACCTTCTGCAGAGGGGTGAATTTCATCCTTAGTGAGTAAACAAAGACCTTTTGTCTTAAATAGGATTGTTCTGCTTTCAGTGGTGAATATTTGTTTTTACTTCATGGAAAAAAATTGATTACCTGGAAAAGTTCTATGTTATTCATCTAGTGTTCGGGGGCGGGGGAGAGTGTTCTTCATGATAATCCCAGAAATGCACTCACTCTATTGTGGTTCCTATGAGAGCACTGTTTAGAATAGTACTGGATACATGAAAGGGCAAGGTCAGATACATTTTTCCAAAGCTTCTATTAGTTTTAAACTGGCTCCTCAGTATCTCTCTAAGGGATGGTGTCTGTATTTTGATGTGTGTGATATTTTAGCAAACAATCCCTATATTTCAATATAATTACATATCAATTTACTCAGTTCCCATTGGGCATGAGCAGGGCTGTAGGCCAAAATTGAGGGGAAAACTTCAAAGAGCATTTTCAAAAGACTGCTGCCAAGATTAGTAACAATGTCTGGAAGTTGTCACATTTATCTTGCGATGGAAATAGTGAAGGTGCATATAGACTAATATAGTTTGAGGAATGTAGTTTGCTTTGCTTTTCCAAGTTGAAATGAAACTCCTACTTACTGCTAGAGAGATGTATTCATCTGCAGCCAGATCCTGAAATGGTTACTCAGTTAATAGACAAAATGCATATTGACTTTTGAATAGTACTTTGCCTGAGTGAAGACTGGAAATGAGTACTTCAAGATTTGTTTTCTAATTCCTAATTCTGCAAAGAACAGCTAAAGTGATTCAGTTATGTAGAAGCAGGGATCCAGTTTACATAGGTACACACTTAAATACTGTCCTGAACAGAAATACTTTCCTGACTCGTAGCCTCGCAGTGCACAGTTGAAATTAAGATGTCCCATGTATACAAGGCCATTTGGGGCCGTGTGAGTTATGAAGTCAGTTAGACACATGTGAAGGCTTGGGTGTCTGTTGAAGCTTGGAAGATTCAAGACTGGACTTGTCACCTATTCTCTTATGTAACGAAGATGCTCAACACTCTCCATTTCCCCACTTCCAGTGACTTTATACTGTATAATATATGACCATATTTAATTGTACCAGGGGACTCCATGACAAATATTCAGTGTGTTCTTTCATGTTCACACTTTGGCAACTGTGGGAGTTCACTCAGATTGCCTGGCTGCAACACAGCCAGCCACCAGCAGTAGGATGCCAACATCTTTTAAAAAAATTGTCAATGTGAAAATGTTGATCAAAGACATATTGTTCTTGATTGATGGAAAAAATGCCCTGGCTCATGGTGTGGCAACAGACTGGCAATCAAAAATCTTGGCACTTTAATCAGCCGTTAGAAAATCAACATGGAAGTTGGAAAAATTGTTTCCATCATGGATAGCCATTTTTTTTCGCTTCTGGAATCAGTCAAAAAGCATTTTGAGAACAACATTTCTCATAGTCTCAAATCTATTTAGCTCCCTCTGGACCAGATTTGTGCATTGAGGAAAAGAGTTATGTTTCTCAATAGTCTGGAGCTGGATGTTTCATCCCCTATCAATAGAGTAAATCTTAAAAGCCCAGAATATCTATGATTCCACCAAGCTCCTCCATGCTATCAAACCAGCCTCCCACTAGAGGAAGATTGCTGAGCAGTGGCAGATGGAAGAGTCACTGTTAGAGTGTGACACTAATGGAACTCTGTTCTTAGGTACCATTGATAGTAGGTTTCAGGGGGCCCCAGAACCACTGAAGAAGAAAAGAGCCTCCACACAAAAGGCCTTGGTCTCTGGTACATTCCTCAGGAACATTAGACCATGGAGTGTGAACTTCCTGCTTATTTTGTAAGGAGAGACGGTGGTAGGTGAAAATCCAATTGATTGATCCAGATAAACTCCATGAAGGGAACTTTGGACAGTTTTCCTCTCCTTTCATCTCCAGTAGGATTTCTTCAGGAGAAGACAATTTAAGCCTTCACAAGGACTTCTTGATTTGGCTTCCATAGGGCACATATGAAATATGAAAATGACAAGTAGTCCTGTAGCTCCTTAGGATATGTCTACACTAGCTCATTAGTTCAAGCTAAGTAGGGTAATTATGGCAACCAGAATTGCAAATGAAACCCGGGATTTAAATATCTTGGGCTTCATTTGCATGTTCCCGGGCGCCGCCATTTTTAAATCTCCCTTAGTCCGAACTCCGTGCCCGTGTAGTGCCATGTGTAGCCGTGGGCATGGAGTTCGGACAAAGGGAGATTTAAAAATGGCGGCGCCCGGGAACATGCAAATGAAGCCCAGGATATTTAAATCCCGGGCTTCATTTGCAACTCCGGTTGCCCTAATTACCCTACCTAGCTCGAACTAACGAGCTAGTGTAGACATACCTTTAGAGATTCTCTCCACTCTGCTCATCTGGGGAAGTAGGTTTTGCCCACAAACACTCATGAATCTATCTATCTATCTATCAATCTATCTATCTATCTATCTATCTATCTATCTATCTATCTATCTATCTATCCCTAAGGGTGCATCTACACAGCACCCTAAACTCAAAATAAGATAAGCAATTTGCGCTAATTTCAATTCTATTTTGAAATAGCTTATTTTGAAATTTGACATGTCTACACAGTGCCAAATTTTGAAATAATGCAATATTTTGAGACATCCCTTAACCCTTGTGGAATGAGGGTTACAGGGACGCTGAAATAGCACATCCGTTATTTTGAAAAATATTTTGAAATAACGGATGGCTTGTTCAGATGTGGGGTAGCTATTTCGGGATACCTCCAGTATCCCAAATAGCCACGCAGTGTAGACATACCCTCAGGTGCTATAGGACTTCTTGTTTTGTTTTTAAAGTTACTGACTAACATGGCTACCTCTCTGAGAGAAACAGAAATATAAGCAGCTTTGCCACCAACATAGTAAGCATATATAGTAGTACCATATAGGAAAGCTCACTGCACACACACCTCTGCAACTACACAATTCACTACATCTGACCACATAACTGATCCTTTATAATTTGATTACTATACATACATAAATCACCTGACGGAAAGGCTAGCAATCTCAGAGAAATTACTGTGGGAATGCATGTTCATTAGCTGACAAAGTGCTTTAGCATTTTAGGGTAGGACAAAATACATTTACCTCCTGAGCAGATTTGCTTACACGCATCCAGACAGAGACCCCCAGAATAATGCACCCACACACCTGCAGGAAAGAAAAACCATCAGTAATAGCAATCACATCTATTGCTAGCTCTCAAAGTGCTTTACAGAGTAATATTATTCCCATTTTACAGATGGGGAAACTAGAGGGAAAATGACTTGTTCATGTTTGCCCAGCAGGCTAGTAGCAGAGTTGAGTCTTAATTTAATGCTCCACCCACTAGGTAACACTGCCCTCTTTGTACACACACTCGGTGTCCCAACTGCACATGATGCTTTCAGAAATATTGACACAGAATTATGGCAAAGAGAAAGAAAGATCAATGGTGCTCAGCATACAGCTTCACAGCTGGGAAATTTCATAAATGGTAGCTGAATTTCCCTCACCCACTCCAGCAGTGCTGGGTGCCGTACATCAGATGTTCCAGTCCCAAAAGGGCCTTCAGTTCACTGATGATTTATGTTTGTGGTTTGGGAGGCACTTTGTGATCCCATGGGATAAAGGTGTATAGAAATGCATAGTGTTATAGTAGTTAGAGAATGCTGTGCATACTAGAGATGTAAAAAAAGATCATTTCTCATATCACGGCCATTCACATGAAGTTCCCTTGCACTCACCAGCCTTTTGCTCCATGGAGCTGTTTTGCCAGCAAAACTCCACTACCAGGGATCCCCTCTGCCACCAACTTTCCAAAGCTGCATTGCCTTTTCCAGATAAATACTGCAGGACCAGAGAAAAGCTGATGTGACCCTCCCGCCCCCCAAAAAAACCCTTAGCCCACTTACTCTTTCCACTTAGCTTAATGAATACTTGACTCAATCCAATGGGTTCCAACTCTGCAGGTGTAACCCACCTTTTTGTGCAAGATCCTTATGCCTCAAAAAAGGGAGTTTTGCAGCAGGAGTTACACAGGCATGTCTCATGGACTGGAAGGAAATGAAAACTAATTCTCAGTGCAGAACAGGTATATGTCCATGAGCCCATTATGATCCAACATGAATGATCAAATGCCAAATACTGAAGTCCTCCCTCATTTTCTATCCAGGTAAACTTGCACTAATTTCATTACTTTTTCTTAATAACTTCCCTGGGAGTCTGATTGGTGACTGAGTAAAATCTGAGAAGGATTTCAGGGTTTGGCCCTGAGTGACCCATCCACCATATGTTTTTTATTGGCTGTAGAGGTTGACTCCAAACAACCATGTCAAGATCCTGGTTTCCAAGAATAATATCAGCACTGCATATGAAGCAGGGGCGTACTGTACTAAACTGGAGACACGCCCTGCTAGTTGACAGCATTCATTCTCTATGCTTCACAGAGCTGCCTTCACAATATCCTCCTCAGACCAGAGAAGACCATAATGACTGGATGAAGAATTAGTAGTAAGGCAAAAGGCCCAACTCTCCTCTCATATTCATGAATCTCAGATTAGAACCACTAAAATAAAGATAGTTATATTAGTGTAATAGGAGACCCACATCCAAAGAATGTACTGGCTGGGAAGAATGGAAGGGATGTGGGTAGAGGAGAAGAATCATTTAAGGATGGACTGTCATGCGTATTCAAGTTCAGTACTACCTTCCTGTGTCCCATTAGTGGTCACTTTAAGCAAGGGTGATAGAAGTTGGCCTTTACATTTTGGCGGTCTCAGTAAGGTTGTCACCATTCCTGGATATTCTTAAGAAAAATTATTATTTTTATAATTTTTATATAATTTTCTTTTAAAAACCCCATGCCCACTTAAAGGACCAGTATAATACTCAATCACAAACCCCATAATGACTTTAGCAGATTATTTAATGTGGAACATGGCCCAAACTAAAACCTAAGCACTATATTTGTTTCTGCTTCTAAGTAAATGTCCTGTAAATACATTAGTATTTAGTCTGTTTATTGGCTTTTGTCTCTGAACAAGAAGGAACAATAAAAAGAGAAGATATTATTGACTACAGCTATATCATGTTATCAAATCTTAACTAGAAGTTCCATTGAAATCAATGGGGACTTTAGCTTAAAAATTGATAGCACTTTATGATTTAAGAACAGGTTAGATAGACATCTGTCAGGGATGGTGTAGACGGAGCTTGGTCCTGCCTTGAGGGCGGGGGGCTGGACTCGATGACCTCTCGAGGTCCCTTCCAGTCCTATGATTCTATGAAATGTAAAGTCTATGAAATGATCCATGTTCATGCCTTGGTTTATGTCTCTTGATTTATGTTAATATTTGGTTATGTACCAGACGTTATTGGACTTTAGTCTCATTCGCTTCAGTGGCACTTCTCACATGAGAAAGTATATTTGGGCCAGCTTCATGAACAAAATTTGGCCCACAATATTATTACTTAATTACTGCCATAGTAATATATTAGTAATAATAAAATAAATAATGGTTAGAATTAGATTTTCCATTTTGTGGGAAACTCCAATTTGAAAATGTTTCCTTTCCAAAATTGAAGAGAACCAAACATTTTTGCTATTTCCTGCAAAATGAAAGTCACTACCACACACACACACACACACACACAAGTTTCAGATCCATCAAAATGTTTTGCTCTGACAAAGTCTACACATTTTGCTCCGATTTTGGCTTTCTTTTATAGAACATAATTTTTTTGAAATATGAAAGAAAAAGTAGTTTCAAAATGAAAAAAATAAAGTATTTACATTCTAAGAAGGTCAAAACAGAATGTTTCAACCTCATTGGAATGGCCTGTTCTTTCTTTTTTAAACAAAATGAAATTTTGTCAACATATGTTGTTAAAATGTTTCATTTTTGACAAATCAGCATTTTTGGATGGAAAACTGCCATCCGAAAATTTTCAACCAGTTCTACAGGTAATAAATAGCAAATAACTGAGGTATATAATCTGGCTTTGCCACAAGCCCCGAGCAAGGGCCACTCATGCAACTGCATTGCCAGAGGAGCAGATCAGAGCCCGGAATGTGTCTCACCGAGTCACAGTCTGATGTTTACTTCCCCACCCCTTTCCTTCAAAGTCAAGTTCAGTGATCTGTGCCAGCCCTACACTTGATGGAGATTACTGCAGTTGTGCTGATTGTGATGTCTGACTAGAATACTTGGGTTCTACCTACTGCTTATCCACATAGGTAGATGGAGGAGTAGCAATTGCATGAAGACTCACTCCTCCTTGAACTGTTACATGCACCTCAGGCAGTCAGGGTAAAGAAGCAAGGAAAACATGAATTCACTTGCATGGATGCATAGGGTGGAAATTGGAAAGTTTCTATCTCTGAGTAATGAAGTTCTGAAACAGCTAGTAGAAGTTGTGGGGGCAAACAGCCTACCTACTTTTAAGGTGAAGATTGATAAATTAATGAAGGGGAGTATATGACAGGATTGCTTGTGATAGCAGGAGATTGGTCTTGATGACCTAGGAGATCCCTTCCAGTCTTATGTCCTTACAGGAGCCCTGAATGAAGCACTGCCTTGATTCAATATACTAAAAAGTGGTAATAGCTGTTCTGAGGCTAATCAGGGCAGGCAGGCTTTCCTCCCCAAAGTGTGGGCTCACTCACCACCCATTAATGTGGGGTTGAAAAATCAAGCTTATAATAGGTAGCTAAAATAATGTCTACACTGCCACCCTAGTTTGAACTAGAGTGGCTAATGTAGGCATTCGAACTTGCAAATGAAGCCCGGGATTTAAATATCCCGGGCTTCATTTGTATGTTCCCGGGCGGGCGCCATTTTTAAATGCCTGTAGTTTGAACTACCTGCCCGCGGCTACACGTGGCACGGACTAGATAGTTCGAATTAAAGCTCCTAATTCAAACTTCTGTTATTCCTCCTGCAAGGAGCTTTAATTCAAACTACCTAGTCCGTGCCGCATGTAGCTGCGGGCAGGTAGTTCAAACTACGGGCATTTAAAAATGGCGCCTGCACGGGAACATGCAAATGAAGACTGGGATATTTAAATCCCGGGCTTCATTTGCAAGTTCGAATGCCTACATTAGCCACTCTAGTTCAAACTAGGGTGGCAGTGTAGACATTATTTTAGCTACCTATTATAAGCTTGATTTTTCAACCCCACATTAATGGGTGGTGAGTGAGCCCACACTTTGGGGAGGAAAGCCTGCCTGCCCTGCTCCTTTTACCCAAGACCCCGCAGGAGGCCCAACCCCCCTTCCCAATAAAATGAAAATCCCTGGGGGGCCCCTGACCAGAGGAGCTCTGGCCTGCCCACCCCAGCCACATCAGGCACCCCCCCCCCCCCAGAAACTGCCTTCTCTTCAATGTCACTGTTCAAGCCAGGCCACCAAAATAGCTTTGTGCAATTTTTTTCATGAGCTCCATTCCACAGTGACCTGAATGTAGCTACTCTAACATCTGTTGTCTCAATATTTTTGGAATAATTACACGCATTCCCCATAACAAGCACCCCAAATGGGTTGATAACTTCATTCTCCTGGACATGTAGGGGACAAGGTCAGGTGAGACCTGAGAGTTCCGTAGAGATGTTCCATGCATCACTAGATCCATAACTTGGGACAGTATTGGGTCACCACGAGTTGCTCTCTTAACTTGCGTAGCAGTGATGGGCGTGTTCTCTACTTGTTCAAAGTAAAAGATTTCCTTCTGGCCACTATTTTGATGTTTGACTGGAAAAAGCAGCCTAGAGAGACGATCTGCATTGCCATGCAGAGTGGATTTCCGATATCTGATCTCATATGTGTGTCCTGAAAGTCACAATGCCCATTGTTGAATACGACTAGCAGCCAATGATGAAATACCTGTGTGTGGACCAAAAATTACCGTCAGAGGTCAATGGTCAGTGAGAAGTGTAAACTTCTGTCCAAACAGGTACTGGTGAAATTTCCGAAGCCCAAAAACGATTTTCAATGCTTCACGCTCAATTTGTGCATAGTTAGTTTTAGCCTTGTTTAAGGTGCGTGAAGCAAAAGCAATTGGTTTCTCCTCTCCCAAAGGCATAATGTGTGATAAGACCGCTCCCACTCCATATGAGGAGGCATCACAGGCCAACTGTAAAGCTAAGGATGGATCAAAATGTGTCAGGATCGCTGCGTTTAGCAATGCGCATTTAGCCTTGTTAAATGCAACATCACAGGTGTCAGTCCACTTCCAGACCTTGTTCTGGCCAAGGAGCTCATGAAGTGGTTTTAATAGTGTGGCTAGCTATGAAATAAACCTTCCATAATAGTTCAATAGTCCTAGAAACGAGCAAAGTCGACTAATATTTTGAGGGGGCGGAGCCTTCACAATAGTCTTAACTTTTGAAGGGGGCTTATGAAGGCCAGTAGCATCAATGATGTGTCCCAAATATTCACCAGAGGGTGAAAGAATGCACACTTAACTTTGCGGACTCGTAGGTCATACTCTTCCAGTCTTTGTAGGGTAACCTCTAAGTTCTTAAGGTGATCCTCCTCGTTCCTGCCTGTGACCAGTATGTCATTAAGATAGCACTGGAATCCTGGCAAGCCACACAAGATCTGGTCTATAGCTCTCTGGAACAAAGCTGGGGCAGAAGTTATTCCAAAGGGTAAGCAACAGTAAAGATAAAGCCCTTTATGCGTAACAATAGTCAGCTCTTGGGATGCCTCATCAACTTGCATCTGTAAATATTCTTGACTTAGATCAATCTTGCTGAACTTTTGTCCCCCAGTCAGGCCCGCAAAGATGTCATCGATGCAGGGAAGGGGTATTGCTCTGCACATAACGCAGGGTTAACAGTGACCTTAAAATCTCCACAAATCTGAACAGAATAGTCTTTCTTCAAGACTGCATGGACTATGGGTAACTGGTATTAGGACTCAATTTTTGACTAGGCGCTCTAGGTCTACTTCAACTTTTGACCTGATAGCATATGGCACAGTTCTGGCCTTCAGATATTTTGGTTGGCTACCAGGTTTAATATTCAGTTTCACGGTGATTCCCCTCATACTTCCCAGATCCTCTCCAAAAATCGCAGCATGTTTCTTTAATATATCGGTCAGACCTGTTTCTTCTTTAGTCATTCGGTGCACTTCTGCCCAGTCCAGCAGGATCTTCCTAAGCCATGATCTCCCTATTAAGGCTGGGTAATGGCCTTTCACAGCAAACAGTGGTAATTCCGCAGTCTGTCCATTTAGTTCCACCTTAACATCAGTAGTGCCGAATAGGGGTACTGCTTCTCCCGTATGTCTTCAGAATGATCTTTGTTGCCTTAAGTGGAAGATGCTTCAGCTTTTCCTTATACACCGTGTCTGAGACCAATGAAACTGCTGCACCAGTGTGCATTTCCATGCGTACAGGTTTGCCATCCAACATAGCATGGCACTTCTTCTTCAGACAGGATGTCACCTTGATCATCAGGCATCTGCTCAATGGTATGCAGATTTTCCTTTTTGTTCTACCAGACCTCAGGCCTCTTTTTCTTTTGTTGGCAGGCATGCTCAATGTATCCTTTTTTTCCACACTGTTGACACACTAGGTTCTAACACCAGCATTCTGATGCATGGTGACCTGGATTTCCACATCAGTAACATTCCTGGCTTCCCACTGTTTTGTGGATAGGTTCTTGGGACACTTTATGCACCCAAAGGGGTGCACTAAAGTATTGCGCCTCCCGTGTGGCCAATTCCATGGAGACCTCAATATCAATGGCCTCCTGTAGGTGAGTTGAGCTTCTGTTAACAGACACCTCCATATAGCTTCACTTTGAAGGCCTCACACTAACCTGTCACGTATGGCATCATTTAACATCTCCTTAAATTCAGTGTTCAGCAAGCTTTTTCAAATTTGCTACAAATTGTATAATTGTTTCATTTTCTTTTTGGTCTCTGTTATGGAACCTGTATCTTTCTGCAATTACCAATGGTTTTGGAGCATAATGTGACCCCAGGATTTCCACAATGTCACTGTAAGATTTGGTCTTTGGCTTAACAGGGAGCAGCAAACTGCATAGCAGAGAGAGGGTCTTAGCCCCTACAACACTTAAAAATATTGGCACCTTCTTCTCTCCTTTAATATCATTTGCAATAACAAAAAGTTCAAAACGCTCAGTACATGTGTGCCATTGCTCTATAGTCTCCTCAAAAGGTCACAGTGGCTCTGTAAGTGTAGTCAGGGCTGCTGCACTTCCCCCCCTCCCCTTTTTTTTTTCCTTCTTCAGCCTCTGAGCTCCACTGATCTTAGTTTCAGTTTGCACAGTGTAGCAGTCAGTTCTTACCCCACTTTCCAGAGCAGCCAAAACAAAGTTTGTTTTCTTACATGGACTTCTTTTGTTGCTGGAGGCAGTACAGGTATCCCACCCTCCTTGCCACTTGTTATGTCGTGGGGAGTTTCACAGTATAGGAAGAAATCAGTGGAAATGCAGAGAGCTGGAGTAGTTGCAAGTGTCCATTTTATTGCATAGCACAGAACTAACTAGAACAAGCCCAAACCAGCTGGGCTGACCCTACTGACCTAACTCAGTTACTATAACAACAAGATCTATACAGTAATTCCTCATTTAACCCTATAGATATGTTTCAGAAAATGATCGTGTTAAGTGAAAACATGTTATGCGGGGGCAATTTTCCCATTGAAAATCATGGAAAAGGTGGGGATTGTGTTTCAAGTGGTGGTGTCTATTGGATCCAGGACCAGGAGTGGCCTGAGACCAGCTGCAGCAGCTGGCACCCCAGGCAGAACGCGTGATCGGCACCCCCGCCTGCACGGCCGTCAATGGCGTGACGTAATCATTGGCCACCCCGGGTGCCCCATGACATCATCATCGGGCGCCCTGGGTGCCCTGTTGAAGGTGGCACCCTAGGTGACCGCCGAGTCTGTCTATACTCACGGGCCGTACCTGTCCGGGACATAAGGCTGGGGGAGAAAGGGGACTGGGTTACAGCAGGGAAGGGAGGTATTTGGCTCTGGGGAAGGGAAGGAGAGGAGAGGGGAGGGGGATTGGATTGGGAGTATGCCCCTATGACGGGTCTGCTGGGACCCACACTGTGTCCGGTGAGGGGGGATCAGCGGGGAATGATGCGGTGAGCGGCAAACCCTCTGCCACTTTGCAAGGAGGTGGGGAAAGCACCGCACAGCTGCCGGCAACGGGCCAGCTGGGGAAACGCAGCCGCCAGCCTGCAAGCGGGGGTGGAGGAGAGGGGCCAAGGCATCCTGCGAGGGGGAGTCAGCGGGGAATGGCGTGGTGCATGGCAAACCCTCCGCCACTTTGCAAGGAGGCGGGGGAAGCCCCGCACAGCCGCCAGGAATGGGTCGGCTGGGGAAATCGTGTTATTCCACGGATGGTTGTGTAATTCAAAAAATGTTCCCTAAAAAAAAAATTGTACTATTGCGAAAACGTGTTAAGCGGGCACATGTTAAATGAGGAATTACTGTATCTACAACCCAATACACAACAGGATGTATTACAGGAGTCTTATACACAAGTCCCAATGAGTCATTTTTCCAGCCTACTCTGCACTGATAAGGCCTCAGCAGAAGTACTGTGTCTAGTTCTAGGCACCACATTTCATGAAAGATGTGGACAAATTGGGGAAAGTCCAGAGGAGCGCAATAAAAATGATTAAAAGTCTAGAAAACCTGACCTATGAGGAAAGATTGAAATAATTGTGTATGTTTAGTCTGGAGAAAAGAAGACAGAGGGGGCAAGATAAGTTTTCAAGGATATAAAAGGTTAGGACAGGGAGGAAGTTCAAAAACTGTTTTTCTCTGAGGGCAGGACAAGACGCAATGGGCTTAAATTGCAGCAAGAGAGATTGGACATTAGGAAAAACTTCCTAACTGTCCGGATGGTTAACCATAGGAACAAATTGCCTAGACAGGTGGTGGAGTCTCCATCACTGGAAGTTTCTAAGGACAGGTTAGATAAATATCTGTCAGGGATGGTCCAGTTATTACATGGTCCTGCTGTGAGTGTAGTGCTCCAGACTACATGACTGTCCAGTGCCCCTGTAAGTACTGTTGTGCAAAAAGTTCAATTTCAATGTTAAACACACTCAAAATCAGCCTAGGCTAGATCTGAGTTTTCAAACTGACACTGGCTCATTAGAAGTTTATTTGTGGCATCCTCATGCCATCAAAGGCTTTTACAAATTAGCTGCAAACATTCAGAGACTACTGTTCATGTTTCCTTTTGAGTTTTATATTCTGTTCACTGGCAAAGAAATATCTCCTGAGGCAAGTCCCATGCGGTAGCTACTAATTCCACTTCTGGTTTTAGGGTCCCCTTTGGGAACAAGTAACATCTCTTGCCTAAGGATTGACAAGATTCAGCCATGAGAGTACTGGTTTTATTTGAACTCAAACCTTGCAGACCTTCAAAGAAGTTCAGACATAACGATTACGGAGATCCATTTCAAACCAAACTCAGAAGGCTTCATGCTTCTCTTCTTTTAAATCAAGCCGGGGTTCTACTTTCACTCAAACTCCATCCACTTCAATACAATTACCCTTTTAGGCCCCATTGCAACCTGGCAGCCCATCAAACCCCTAATATGATTCTCAGTGCAAGCCAGCACCAAAATAAGACACACACAAATTTATCTTGGAAAAGATTTGAAAATACTGTGCAATTCTTTCCATGCCCCTTTCTGCCATCTTATTTTCATGATTCAATGCCCCTGATGGAAATACTTTACAATAGTAAAAGTGAGATAATTCACGTGTAATGTAGGCAATCTTTGGATTATAATGAGAAATGTCCCTTTAAAGGAGGGACACTCGCAAGATACTGCCACAAGAACTAGATCTCTAATTTTGAATGTACAAGACATGCAGGCTTTTTCTTAGCACTGAAAATGAAAGAAAACCAGAGACTAAGCGAATGTTGCTGGTAAGCTGAAGTTAAATGTATTTTTCTCTCTCCCCTCTGCTCTACCTGTTTCAATCTTACTCTATTTTTTAATTATATCTGATTTCCTTTATAACTGATGCTAATATGTTCCCTGAATACAGTGAGCTCTAGTTCCCATGCCACTATTAACAACTTAAAAATCAACTTACCCAGAATACAAAATTGAAGATGAACATGGAATATTTCATACAGCTGCTCACCCCCGCCATTTTCAGAAGCAAATGTAATCAAAGATACAGAGAAAGCTGTTGCAGGAGCCCTGCTTCTTTTGTTTTCTTTTTTTTTTAACTCCTCTGGAAGCTCTCACAGAAGTCTGACAGGAAAGGACTACATATGTAGTATAAAATGTACTACATATGCTCTGAGTAAATATTAACCAAGCACCCAAAAGCACCACCAGGTGTTATCTCTGAATACGTGCAGGTGTATGTTCTATTGCTTCTTCTACAGGATTGGTAGTTTTTATGTTTGTATTCTTATTTTCCACGCCCCAAAAGTAAACAGATAAGGCATAATATCAAAAGTGGTGAAGAGAAAATGAAAATGTAAAATATAGAGTCAGTCTCAAGAGAATCCAACATTAAATGCTAAACACTTACGCTTCTGAAGCTTCTAACAACTACAAGATTTGCTCTGTTTCATCGCTTTATTTAAATATTGTCAGAATTCATAGGCCTCCCTCAATTCTGCTCCAAACATCCAGCCTAAGTAGTGGGTGGATGCTGGCTTTCTCTGCACAGGAGGGGGAGGGAGAAAACTGCCAGTATTGCTTCAGTCCCAATGCCCTTTCACAGCTGCCCCGTGTGCTCTCCTCCATGACAGCATCCCATAGAGCTGTAATCTGTGGTGCACAGAGCATACAGCCCCTCTGCAGATTCCCAAATTATTTTCTGCCCCAGCAGAGCGGTCACATGGGTCTGCTGTAAGATTCACTACTCCCTGGGAGCAGGGCTCAGGATTCTGTCCCTGAATAAATAACAATGACAATTGCAATGACTTTGGTTTCTTTAGTAGTCTTTAAAGTGCTACATAGTCCTGTTTTTTGTTTGGTTTCTTTGGTATCCCTTTAAAAGGTCTTATGAAATGAATGTGGGAATCCGATTGCTTAGTGTTTTTGAGAGAAACCGAGCAAAACTATCCCAAGGGGATGGAAGACAGGCAGGGGTTACCTTGGGCTTTCTATGGAAAGAAAGCTTTAATTTGATGATGGGCCCACAGAACATTTGCGGGAAGAGGCTGGGGATGGGCTACATTGAATCAGTTTGAGGCCCTGCTACCTTGACAAAGCTCTCTTTTTAGTCAGAGGAGTCTACTATCAACCTCCAGATCTCACTTCTGAGTGCACTGCAAGGTCATTTTGTGAGTGGTCCCTACTTAACTCCTACCCCCTCAAAGTAGCACTCTGTCTCCCTCTGCTGGTAGCTAAGCCAGTTAGCAATTGCTATAACTTTAGCTAAGAGAGCTATGATTTTTGTGTCTTGTGTTTAACTCAGGAAGAGTTTCAAGATTGTATCCTCAATGCCAACACGACACCCTTGTGTGGAGCAGTATTGCATATACATATATATAAATAGTTAATAGGTAAGATTCTGTAGATGGTGCACATGGATGTGTAACCTTGTCCATTGGTTTTGTTGGACCAATATAATTTGTTGAGCACTGAATATGTCCTCTTCGTATTATTCTTTACAAAGTGACGTGTGTTCTAGGTTACTGACTAAATATAGCCCAGCATTTTATTAAACTAATTTTAAGAAGACACAACTGTTCTGAATTCTAATGACTGGTGTTAGACCTAGCTGATAGGTATTCAAGTTTCAGAGGTAAATTTTGTTTTCTAATTCTGAGAGCTTGGCTTTCTGTCCAATTTATTTCACAATAGCCAAACTGAATCAGCAAATGCTCCTAAAAAATTTGCTTATGAAATGCATATTTTTCAGGAACTTGGAGAAACAACAGTGTATGTTTTAGCTCTAAAGCCCCAGATAAGTAAATAAGTCAATAACTTTATGTCTTCATGGAAAAATGGCATAGCCACAAGTAAATCATGAGAATAGTTCAAGTCCCATATAAAATTATGTGACATTCCATAAAGGGCAATGAAAGAATTACAGTTGACATCTGCTTTGAAGAGATAAGTCTACAATGAAAGCATGGAACTGCATTTAGCGAGATTTAGTATAAGACTAGCTCTGAAGCAAATTGTCATATTGTACCAGAGATTATATAGTCATAAATTGTCTTCTATCATGGATACCCATTAACAACTGACAATTAATTGACAATTAACATAACTATATCTGAAATGTTTGGATCAGAAAAAAAAGAACTATATGATGGAAAATGTGCTAAACTGAGAGGCATTTTGACATAGAAACCTAGGATAAACATGTAAATAATGCCCTGCTCTAGGTGATTAGTATGGAGACATTTTGCATGTTGTTAAGGGAGTCTATAGGGCCAAACCTAGCTCCCATCCCACCTTCTTGTCTTTGCAACAATCTGGAGTACAAAGTTGCCACGAAATTGGTGAAACTGGCTATGTAACTCCAGAAATCCCAGACAGTCACCACCCCAGACAGTTACTAGTCGGTGGGCAACCAGTTTGGTATGGGGAAGTCCACTGTCAGGGCCCTTCTGATGGATGTAAGGCACTCTCGGGCTGCAGTCCCTGCAAGGGCGGGTGAGCCTTCTGTAAAGGAGGACCCCAGGGCAAGGGGGATAAGGGTGCTGGGGTGGGGTGGGCTGGAGATGGGGGGGAAGCTCTATCCCTGGGGAGTTGTGCTGTCCCATCCTGCCCTCACATAGCCCTGCTGCTGGGGGGATAGCCTCACAGGGGGTGACTCCTGGAGTGTTTAGGGAGGGAGGGGAAGAGAGGAGCAGACACCTCTCAAGGGCTCAGAAACTCCCTCTCTCATTCTCTGTTTTGTGTGTTTGTTTGTCTCCTTCTGCAGGTGGTGAGGGCCATCAACTCCATCCTGCCACGCAGGATCATCCACCTGGGAGACCTGGACCTGATCATCACAGGATTTGCCACCCTGGGGTTCCCCAACTGTGGTGGGGCAATCGATGGAACCCACATCCCAATCCGCTCACCTAGTCATCAAGTGGACCAATATGTAAACTACAAGGGCTACTTCATGATGGTGCTGCAGGCCCTGGTTGACCACTGTGGACAGTTCATGGACATTTATTTCAGGTGGTCGGGCAGGGCACATGATGCCCATGTATTTAGAAACTCCAGCCTCTACAGGAAGCTGGAGGTTGGCACATTCTTCCTCCAGTATGACTTTGAAGTTGGGGATGTACAGATGCTACTGTGCATCATGGGGGATGCCGCCTACCTCCTCATGCCGTGGCTGATGAATCCATACACTGGCCACCTGGACCCCAGCAGGGATCAATTTAACTCCCACCTCAGCTGGGACCAAATCCAGGTGGAGTGCGCCTTCAAGCACCTCAAGGCGCAGTTCAGGTGTCTTCTGACCCGCCTGGACATGGGGGAGCACAACATCCCTGAGGTGGTATCAGCATGTTGTGTCCTCCACAACATTGTGGGGAGGAAGGGGGAGGCCTTCCTGCTGGGGTGGGGGGCAGAGGCCTCTGCAAAGGGAAGGCCTTTGAGCAGCTGTGGAGAGCTGCCATCTGTCAGGCCCATCAGTTGGGGTTGCACATCCAGGAGGCCCCGAGGGAGAGTTTCTCTCAAGGACCCCAGTAACTCTTCCCAGGGCCTCCCCACAAGGGGTCTGTGCCTTGCTCCATTATCCCTTTCCCACCATAACCTCTCCCTTCCCTTCCTCCCTGTACAGTCAATAAACACACCTGTTTTGATTTCAACAAAACAAACATTGTATTTTCCTTTCAATAAAATAAACTGGGGAGGAGGAGGGCTGAGAACCTAGAGAGGGGAGAGAGGAGGGGGGCTGAGAACCTAGAGAGGGGAGAGAGGAGGGGGGCTGAGAACCTAGAGAGGGGAGGGGAGTGGGCAGTGACCCGGGGAGGAGGAGGGGCTGGT